CTACAAGGGGCCCCGGTGCCTCCATCCCGAGTTGCCTCAACTCCATTTGACATTCAAAGCAGCACAGCGGTGTTACCTGCTCCCACAGGAAACCCTAATAAGCTCAAGTTCTGCAAGATTCCTTCATCCCGAGCCCACCGAAACCAGGTGACCCACCTCTTGGTGCTCAAGTGAGGGACCCCACTCCAAGGGGGAACGAAGCAATGCCAGCCAGCTAGAGAGGGTCTAAGTGCTCCAGGCATGCTGCCGTCTTGGTAGAAGTAGTGAGAGGTGAGTTACGGGATAGATTTAGTATGGTTACCAATGACCACGTTTGAGTTAGAGATGAGCACACTTTCTAGAGTGGGTGATTCTGATTGCTGCAAGGTTCTACCACGGCATGGCTCAACTCCAGGACAAGGAGGGGTCTAGGGGCTCATACTTGTGTCCCAAAGGCAGAGGGAAATTGGGGTCACCAGACTGGACACTCAGCTTGCCAGAGGTTGGTGTATGTGGGAGGAGGCTGACATCTGGGCTGCTCACCAAAAGAACACTGGGCCCACAGCCTGTGCATGGGGTCCCAAAGAACGCATTTATTGACCCACAACATTGCTGTCTCAGCCTCACTCCAAGAGGGCAGCCCTGGAGAAGTCAGCCACCCTAGTGATCCAGTTTGGCGGTGGAGGTGGGGTGTTGGAGAGAACACTGTCCGTGATAGCTGAGAAGGCTGGGTCCTGGAAAGTGCTGTGAGGCCCATCCCGTCGTGCCAGCATGGTGCCCCCGCCTCACAGGGGGACGAGGGGGCACCAGGTCCAGCCCTATGAGTAGCTGAGTTGATTTCTTCTTCTGAGTTCCCCAATCCCAGAGCAGGGTTCCACTTAGCAGAAGCAATAATATTCCAGGGGAGAAAAGAGTTCCCAGGTTGTCTTTTTCCTTCCAAAGTCAAATGAGTGATGTCACTGGTTGCTAGGCAAGTTTTCCACGTGCTCCTGCCCCTCCTTTCTGGCAGAACCAACTGTTTCTGTAGCTATGCCACTAATGCCACCAGTTACCGGACAGATATGCTTCCTTGGAAAAAATGGGTGGTGTCGCTAGTTACTGAACAGATTTCTTGTGTGGATTTTTTTCATGGTCTTCCTGCCCTTGTTGCGTGTTGTCTATGGTTGTTGAGGCTGGGGTCACCCGCCTCGAGGCGGGGGCGCTGACACTCCTCGTGGACAAGGCAGATGTCAGGGAGGCTGGGAGAGGCAGGCTGAACCAGGAAGAGCTCTCACTCCTACTCGAGATTGGGCTGAGCCATTGGGAGTCCTGGTTCCACCCCCTGGTGGACAGACTTAACTCTCTAGATGAGGTCTCTCTGTTTCTGTCCTGGGGGGTGAAGCTGGACTTCACTGAGTGCTGCTTAGGCCACTTTAAGGGCTTGGGGGACACAAAGGTAGTCTTTTTGGACAGTAGCTTTTCAAAGGAACCAGGGGCAGTGTAGTCCTGGAGGGACCACCAATGATGAAATGGGTGGACTGGTATTGGCAGCAAGGTGAGGGTGCTGAAGAAGGTGACCCAGCCCAGGGTCCTGTGCAGGTAGGGCTGTTTTACTTCCTGGCTCTGAGGGCAGAGAGAGAGGGCGGCAAGGTGGGAGGAAGAGGCGGTGGTGGGGGGTGGGTGTTTCAGTCCATGTGATGTTGGGGATCAGATTTCCCAGGGACTGGGAATCTGGCCAAATGGTCCCTGGGGATGGGAGGAGCCCAGACTTAGGGGCTTGTTGGGGGCATTTGGACAACGGGTCCCGAAAGTCCAGGTGGGAGGCCCAGGTAGGGGAATCTCACCCCACTGCTGTTCCAGGCAGTGTAGTAGAGGTGTGCCCCCTGGTAGAGATGCATGAGGCAGATGGTGAGGAGGGCCAGCAGCCCTGGCATGGTCACGTAGCACCACAGGAAAGTGCAGAAGGGCCACAGAGGGCGGCCCAGCTCTCTGAACATTTCTTCCCTGAGCCTGGGTTGGGGGCAGTGGGCAGGGATGTCTGGGAAGGAGCCCTCCTCTGGCCTGCCAGGCACTCCCTGAGGTTGGGCTCTGCATCTGGTCTCCCCGTGGGAATCCTCCCATCCAGAGGGGATACACTGCTCCCAGCCCTCTGCCTTCAGACTAGCCCAACTGGCCAATGGCAGGGGAACCTGAGTCCCCTTGGTCCTGACTGCTTGTTCCATCAGGACCCACCCAGCTCCCCTCAGATCACTCCCTCCTGCTCTCAGCTGGACCCTCTGCTGTGGGAAGGACTGAAGGAGTAGACCATGCCCCAGCTCTCCTCAGAGACCCGGGGTGGGGTCCCCTGAGGCTTGAACGTCACCTCCTAGCTCCGTAGATCCAGGTCAGGGCCATGTTCTGGAAGGCCACAATGACGACAAGGGTCAGCGGGACCAGGTGGTCATCAAACAAGGACATTACGTAGCTGCCGGCCTGACTGGTGAAGACGAGGCTGCCCAGAAAACCTCCCAAGCAGATGATCGCTAAGGCAGAGGCAGGTTTGGCCACACTGAGGTCTATGTGTAGCTGGGTCAGGGGTCAAAGTGAGCCCAGGAGATTAGGGATGGCCTAGTGAAGAGGGGCACCAGGGGCAAGGTTGTCACTGGGGTGAGAATCCATAGTACCTGAGAGCATCCTGGGATAATTCTTGAAGACGGAGATGGAGTTCTGGAGAGGAAAGACAATGCCTTCCAAGATATTTATCAAGTTGTTCAGCCCTATGATGAGCAGGGCTATGAAGAAGAGGATGGCCCAGAAAGAGGCACCAGGGAACAACGAGACGACTTGGGAGAAGGCTGCAAATGCCAGGCCAGGGCCTTCCATGAACTGTTGGGGAGAAGGGCTCTGAGGCAGTGGTGGGGCTGGATTGGGGGGGAATGGTGCAGTGATCGATTAGCAATATCTGTCTCAGGCAGAGGAGAGAGGCATAGTGGTAGGTGGATGGCCAAAGTGTTGGGTGTTTGCCCTTTTTGGTTTCATAAGGTGTATGAGCATCACCTGTTAAGTTTCCACCTGAGTTTCCTCCTCTAATAAATAGAGATCCTAGAGTTGATGTGAGAATTAGAGTGAAAATTTAGCAAAGGCCCTGGCACATACTAAATGGTGGTGGAAGAGTAATTCTGTTACCTGCCTCAGAAGGTGCGTAGATAGCCCACAAAGCCCCTGGGAAACACATTTTCCAGTGGCCTCTGGGGCTATTGGGAAGCACCCACCTGCCCCCACAAACATACCTTTTCCTTTTGCGCCTTGATGCTGCAGGATGGGGAGAAGTGGATGACCTGGTGCTGGAGGTATCCTGGGAGGTTGTTGATCCAGTCTAGGTAGTCCATGGTGGGCAGGAGCAGGATGTCTTCTGGGGGCTTGGCATCCTGTGGCAGCACCCCCTTGTCGATCAGCTTCATCAGCTTTGAGACACTCCTGAAGGGGAAGCAGAGAAAAGGAAAGCTGGTGGAGAACAGACTGGCCCCTCTGTTAGCTGCAAACCAAGGACACTGAGGACAGGAGAGGGACATGAATTGCCCAAGATGAGTGCAGCTGAGTAACAAGGGCAGGGACTGGAAGTCAATCACATAGACTTGGGGTGAGTTGCCCTGAAGCTTCCACCTAAGGGGGCAGAAGATGTTACATTTGCAGTAGCTAATTCCAAGGTGCTTTGGGTTGAGTTGTGTGCCCCTGCTCCCACACTCATACATTCTCCAGTACTGCAGAATGGGACCTTATTTGGAAATAGGGCTGTTGCAGGGCTAATTAAAGATGAAGTACTGGAGTAGAGTGGGCCCCTGTTCCACTATGGTGTCCTTTTATGAAAAGAGGAAATTTGGACACACACACACACACACGGAGAATACCATGTGAGGATGGAGGCAGAGATTTACTAGACAAGGAACACCAAAGATTGCCAGCAAACCGCCAGAAGAGGCATGGAACAAAGTCTGCCTGACTGCCCTCTGAAGGATCCAACCCTGCCAACACTCTGATCTCAGACTTCTGGGCTCCAGAGGTGTGAGACAATAAATTTCTGGTATTTTAGCCACCCAGTTTGTGGTACTTTGTTACGGCAGCTTAGAAAACTAATACACTCAGAATTTTGTGTCTTCTTGGATCTTAAGTTTGGAATGCTGGGTTAATCAAACCATCCATGATACATTTTCCTCAACTGGCAGAGCAAAGTCTGTTTAATCTTTTTTTTTTCCTCTATGAATTTCAGTCTTTCCTCTCCTTCTGTAGATACTCACTTTCATGTGCTTGACTAACATTAAATGTGGGTATTTCTTGGTGAAAAATGTTGCTTTGTGTCATCACTTAAGTGTCATTGTGCTATAAATCGTTTTATTTTTCCCCTCAATTTTGACGAAATCGCTACGTTGCTGAATGTGTATCTAGTTGTTCCTGATTGCTGCACCATATTGCATAATATGCATTCACAATCCACAGTCATGTTTGATTCCCCATATAATGGCCCTACCTCCTGTGATCACAAACACCAGTTACCACGACAACCATCCATCTGCGGGGCTCCTGGGAGAAATTCTCCAGGATACACACTTGGGAATGGGGGAGGGGTGTCACTGGGACCATAAATACTGTGCTTAGTTAATTTAGTGAAATGCTGCCAGAGTCTCAGTTGCCCTTTGTGCTCCTGATTAGAAAACTTCTGTAAGACTCTATACCTCCACATTTTCTTATCTAAAGAGAGGGTAATGCTAATCAAAGTAGGTTCTGTGGGGCAGTTGCATTACCTGGGAACTTTTTAGAAATGCAGACACTTGGGCCCACCCCAGACTTACTGATTGAGATCCCCAGGAGATTCATAATGCCCATTAGAGTTTGAGAGACTCTATATAATGAAGGGCAGGGGTTTCAGGATGGCAGTACTTTTAGGACTACGTGGTCCACTATGGTAGCCACTAGACACACATGGCTATTTAAACTAAAAATCATATAAAGTGAAAAATCCAGTTCCTCAGTCCCATTTGCCATATTTGATCGTATTCACATTTCAGGTGCTACAGCTGGTGGCCGCACACAGTTCAGGTGGAGGCTTCCAAGCATCACGGAGCTCTGATGGGCAGTGCTGCCCTGGGAGAGGATGCTTCTCAGTCTAGGCTGCTCATTGGAATCAACTGGGAGCTTTTTTTTCCCTTATCAACTAGGAGCTTTTTTAAAAAACAAGAGCTGTAATTTTTTTGAGCCATCATTTACAGACAGTAAGCAGTGCAGATATTAAACGGACACGTCAATGAGTTTTGACCAACTACCCATGTCACCAACATCCCAATCAAGATAAAAAATATTTCCATCACTACAGAGAGTTCCCTTCTGCCCCTTTCCAGTGTGTTCCCTCCACTCCAGAGGCAACTACTGATTCCCATTCCTACATGCTCGTTTTGCCTGTGCTTCGATTTCATATAAATAGATTCATGCAATGTGTCGTCTTTTATGTCTGGCTTGTTCCATCCAATGTAATGTCTGAGGGTCATCCATGTGGTTGCATATATCATTAGTTCATTTCTTTTAAGTGATGAATAGTATTCTATTGGTTGAATGAAGATATTAAGATTTATTATGTTTATCTCCTGATAGAAATCTGGGCTGCTTAGTTTGGACCATTATGAGTAAAGCTGAAACCAAAATGTCTTTAAGTAGGTGAATGTTTGTTTTTATACATGCCTTTTTGTGGCATTGTTTTTATTTCTATAAGGTTAAGTAGCAGGGGAGGAATAGGTAAATTATATGGTAAGTATATATTTAATTTTTGTAAAAACTGCTAAATAGTTTCCAAAAATGATTCGTACCATGTTACACTCCCACTTACCTATTTGTTGATTGTTTGGTTTTGTCTTATAGACTTGTAGGAGTTCTTAAAATATTCTGGATAAAAATCATTTATCAGTACACATGTGTGTGTGTATATGCGTGATTTTCTCCCAGTTTGTGGCTTTCTTATTCACTTTCAGTGGTGGCTTTTGCTGGGCTGAAGTTTTTAATTTTGATGACTCCAACTTAGCAACCTTTTTTTTTTATGGTTAGTGTTTTTTGTATCCTGGCTAAAAAATCTTTGCTAACCCCAAGGTCAAGATATTCTATGTTTTCTTCTAGAAGCTTTATAGTTTTGGCTTTTACACTAAGGTCTTTCATTCGTCTTGAATTAATTTGGGGGCACGGTGTGTGGTAGGGATCAGTTTATTTTTTTCCAGGTATTGAAAAGAATTTCCTTTACCGTTGAATTGCTTTGGCATCTTTATTGAAAATCAATTGATCATATGTGTGTTGGTTTAATTCTACTTTGTTCTGTTGCTCTGTTGGTCATCCTTAGGCCAATATAACATTGTCTTGACTACTGCAACTTTATAGTGACTCTTGAAACCAGATAGTATGTCTCCAACTTTTTTTTTCCAAGACTGATCTGACTACCTAGGTCCTTTGCATTTCCATCTACATTTTAGAATCATCTTGTCAGTTCTACAGTAAAATTTGCTGGGTTGTGAATTGCCATTTCACTTGGCAATTTAGAGAGAACTTATATATTAATAGCAATGGTTCTGCAAATCCAGGAACTTAATATATCTATTTATTTGATCTTTTTCTCTCAGCAATGCTCCACAGTTTTCAGTGAAGAGATCTTACACCTATTTTGTTAACTATAGCCTTAGTATTTGCCTTACAATTTGATCTAATTGTAAACAGTTTTGTTTTTAAATTTTTCGTTTAACTGTTTGTTGTTAGTGTGTAGAAATATTATTGTTTTCATAGAGTGAATTTTATTTTTGTGACCTTCCTAAATGCACTTGTTTATTTTAGTAGGTTTTTTTTGGGTAGATTCCCTTAGGTTTTCTTTTTTTTTTTTTTTTTGGTGTGTGTGGTGAGGGGGGAGGTAATTAGTAATTAGGTTTATTCACTTTTAGAGGAGGTACTGGGAATTGAACCCAGGTCCTTGTGCATGCTAAGCATGTGCTGTACCACTGAGCTGTACTCTCCCCGTCTCCTTTCGGTTTTCTAAGTACACACTGATGCCATTTGTGAATAAAGACAGTTTTACTTTATCTGGTCTCTATGCTTTATAAAATTCTTCTCTTGCCTTCTTTCACTGGCTAGGAAATTCACTATAATATTGAACATAAGTGATGAGAAGAGATATATATTCTTGCCTTGTTTTCAATATTAGGGGAAAGTGTGCAATAATTCACCTTTAAATAAGATGTTAGCTAATTTTCTGTTGGTGGTGGTGGGATCTTTAGCACAATAGTGTTAAGAACAGCTTGGGTAGGTGAAAGTACTTTTTCAACTGTATGCTTTTATGAAATCTAAATACAAACCAGGTATTTCCTTTCAGCCTCAAGAATTTCCTTTAGTATTCTCTTGGTATAGATTTGCTAGCGATGAATTCTCTCATTTTAATCTGAAAATGTCTTCATTTCACTTTCATTGTTTAAGGGTATTTAGCTGACTACAGAACTCTAGGTTGTTAGATCCTTTCTTTCAGCGTTCTTAAACATTTCTATCTCATTGTCTTCTGACTTCCATTGTTTCTGATGAGAAAATAGTCATAATTCTTATCATTGTACCACTTCATGCAATGTACTTTTAAATCTTTGAATGCTTTAAACATTTTCTATTTACATTTGGCTTTCAGAAGCTTGACCACAATACACCAAGGAGTGATCCTCTTTTTATCTACCCTGCTTGGGGTTTTCTGAGCTTCTGGGATCTGTGGGCTGATGTTTTTAATAAAATTTGGAAAATACTTGCCTGCTATTTAAAAACAATTTTGACCCCAATTCTCTCTCCTTTCCTTCTGCAGCTCCAATTATACATATATTATGGGGGGAGAGTATAGCTCAAGTGGTAGAGTGCATGCTTAGCATACACAAGATCCTGGGTTCAATCCCCAGTACCTCCACTAAGAATAAATAAGTAAACCTACCTACCTCCCCCCACCAAAAAAATATATACATATATTACTGTTACAGGTCACTAGTGGTCTTGTTTAGTTTTTCTTTCCTTTTCTCTGTTTCACTTTGTGTAACTTCTATTTAGTTGTCTTCATTAACTGATCCTTTTTTTTTGCCGGTTCCAATCCATATTACATACATCCAGTGAAACTTTCATTTCATTTACTTTAAATTCTAGAATTTTCATGGGGTTCTTTTTTAGAGTTTCTACAGCTTTCCTAAAATATCCCCACTGTCTTCACACATTTTATTAATCTTTTCTATTAAATTCCTTAACATATTTATAATGGTTGTTTAAAGTTCTTGTCTGCTAATTCTAATGTGTCTGATGATCTTTAGGCCTTCTTTTTTTCTCTTGGCCATGGGTTACATTTTTCTGGTTTTTGGAATGTCTTGAGATTTTTAATTTTATTCTGGACTTTGTGTATAGAAGAACAAAGAAGAAAGGTATATTGTTTTATTTTGCTTAGTCTCAATAAGTTTAAGCCTTTTATTCTACCAGACAGCTAGGATGAGGGCTAATTATTCATATTTCTTAAGAGTTCAGTTGAGTTTGGGTTGGGTGGTAATTTTCATTAGTTGAGTTTTTCTCTGCCTTCAAGTGGAATTAAAGAGAGGTTACTGTTCCCATGAGCCATGCCCTCAACTTTTTGCACCACATCAGGGACTAATTCCTTTCTGTTGTCACTGCTTCAGTTGGAGTGGGTTGGATTATAGCTTTAGATGTTTTTGGTTTATCCAGTGGGGCCACAATCTGAGCACCATAAGACAGTGCACACTTCCTCTGCTTGCTAGCCTTGTCTCTGCTGCATCTTCTGCCACTTCCTCAACACAATTCCTGGGAACAGACTGAGGGGAAAAGGGGGGTCAAGCAATTTATTTGTGTGTTGAGGGATTCTTGAAAGTCGAGTACCAATTGGAAGCCCATACTGTCATTAAGTGCTTGGATTTCTTTTTGTCTGTGCAAAGTCTCTCCATCTGTGACAGGCCTGTTCCTCCACCCACATGCTCCCAGATTAGGCATTTACCCCCGATATAAAGGCATTTATGACTCTTTGCTCACTCATGATGGGCTCATTTAGTTCAATAGGCTTCTTTGTGTCCACTGCTCTTCAGTAACTTTATAGGAAAGTATGATTTTTATTTTGTCCCTTCTTTAAATTGCTCCTACTATGGGAACATGGACTTTTGCATCCTTCCAGCATCCTAACTGGAAGAAAAATTACACCTTGAAGTTTAAAAAAAAAATCTCAATGCCTGAATGCACCCCAGACCGAGTAATGAGAATCTCTAGGGGTGGGACTCAAACATAAGTGTTCTCTAAAGCTTCCCAAATGGTTCCAATATGCAGCCTAGGCCACAACCACTGATTGTGGCTCAGAATGTTATAACTGCCTCTTTGGTGAGTTAAATAATTGATTTTGAAAACTTCTTTACACACCCGTTTGCAATTTATGGAAACCTTGGGACAGTCACAACTCTTAAGACTATTTTCTTATCTATAAAGTGATGGATATTAGAATATTCCCTTTTGGCTGTTTTCTCTGAGAATAAGTATAATATTATCATTATTGAGAGGTTCAAGTTCGAAGGTCCATGAGGCTGGGGGGGGGTGGTTGCTAATACAGAGGGAGGGAGACTCCTCTTGAATCTGCAAGGCTGTGATTACTTACTGCTCGACACAGGCGTGGCCACTGGTGGTGGTCCAGAACCCCAGCACTATAAAGATGACGGATGTGGCCAGCAATGAGGTCACCAGGTTGACCAGGGCCACCAAAGAAGCCACCTGGACATAGTTGTCACCTCCAGCCTTGCAGGAGAACAAGATGATGGTGCCCATGCCCAGGCCCAAAGAGTAGAGCACATGCCCTCCTGCCTGACGCCACAGGTCCAGCGAGGCCCAGGCAGAGAGCTGTGGATGAAGGTGGGTGAGAGGAGTTTGCGAGTGGGCTCAGAGTGTGGACCCCCCAGTGAGCTGGTAGAGGTGGGCAGGCTGGGGTGGAAAGCAGGAGGGATGAGGGGTAGGCTGGGGCAGAAGGAAAGAAGATTCAGGGGAAGGAGATTCAGAGAAGGCCTGGGTAGTTGAGGGAGGGAGGTTTGGAGTCCGCAGCCTCACCTCTGTGGTCACCATACGTCTGAGGCTGGTGGTCACACCTTCCAAGAAGAGACCTCGGATGAGGAAGCAGAGGAGGAGGATGTAGGGGAGGAATACTGAGAAAACCAGCATCTGGCCAGAGGGGTCAGGACAAACCAGAAGTCAGAAATGGGGAGGAGGGAAGACAGGACAGAGGTGAGCATTAGCAGGGGACTGCAGGTCAGCAGGAATAGAGAGATGGAGGTAAGCAGTGTTAAGATGGCCCAGATATAACAAGAGGGAGCTATGGGAGGCTTTTTCTAGGGAGGCAACAGTGTTTGAGGAAGAAAAATCCTCTAATCAGCTGCTCAAGGGTGAAGAATGAGGCCCCAGGTAAAGGTGGTTTTTAAATGGTGGTGCAGTTGGACACTGTTAATTCACAGACCTTGGTTTTGTGGCCTATTTGTGAGTTTAGGGACAGGAACTGCAAAGGGGAGAGAAGCCAGTGAGGCTGAAGTCTGCATGGAACAACTTCATAGATGATGGGGGAAGAAAACAAATGAAGAAGAAACTTTGGGAGAAAACACATGGTTAACAGGAATTATTATTTTTGTTCAGGGATAGGTGAGAGAAGCTCCCCCTGCCACCAAGCCTTTAGTAAAATCTGCTTTTGTGTGAATGGTTTATTTTGAAGGCTGCAAAGGAATGGTAAGTTGAAGTTGGGCCTCCGGGGATATATGGGGTGAGCTGATTGCTTGCATAGATACAGGGGCCAGAAATTACAGGTAAAGTTAACCAAAATGACTTAATAAACACATTGAAATAACTTTTCCACAGAAGGAGAATGTCCAGGTGCCAAGGGGATGGATTGGAAGTATGGATTGGGATAAAGTACTCTAAATGAGAAACTTTGGCAATGTATCCGTGCCATTTGGCCTCTTTAGGGGTCAACAGGCACAGTCAAAATGAAGGAAGGAGGGACATGCCAGGCTCAGGGCGTGAGTCTGTGGCCTAATCTAAAAGCTGCCTGCAGGTCTTCACGTGCAGTGACATGCAGATGAGGGAAGGTGGAGAGGGAATGTGGTCAAGACAAGGTGCTCTTCCATGCTGTGGATGGGAGGAGCAGCTCTTTGTGAGAGGAGCAGCTGACAGCTGCTTAGGGAGAGAACAGCACCTTCCTTAGGAGCCCTGGTGGAGACGCTGGGTGGTCACATCTGAGCTTGCCCTCTGGGTGGGTGGGAGGGTCATGGGGATTGGAGAAGAGAGGTCAAAGGGAAGGGGGCAGGGAGCCTGAGGATCTCTGGATTTGCAAAGGTGAAGTGGTAGTGGGATCAGCAGTCAGGGTGGCTTACCTGCGTTGACATCTTTAGCCCTGTCATCATGATTAAGAAGACGAGGAACCAGACTGCGAAGATGCCCAGGCTGAGATTCAGGACAAGGGCCTTGACCCCCTCTTCTATATGGTTTGAGGCACTCAGGGTGGTGTGGTACCAGAAGTACTGGTGGGACACAGTCCCAAGGCAAGAGAGGTCTGGGGGGACCCAGGTGCTTAGATACGACCTCACCTGGTGCCAACCCCTGCTCTTCACTTCCTCCCCTTTGGCTCTTGCTCCCTGGCTCTTGCTTCTTGTTGCCCCTGCCTCCCTTGACTCTTCTGGCCCTCTCTCTCCCTCTCCTCACCGCTGACAGTGATGTTCTTCACCAGTGTGCACTGGTCCCAGGGCAGGGGATGATGAAAGGAGTTGCCCAGGTAGGAGAGGCTCCAGGTGGTGATGATGCTGTTATACAAGCTCACCATGATGCACACCTGGGGGTGGACACAGTGGGCCTGAGGGGCTGGATGGGTGGAGACAGGGAACCTGGAGACCACAAGGGGTGAACTGGGATGCCTCTTGGCTGGGCCCCTCATTCACCAGTATGCTGGCATAGCCTATGCCGCCCAGCCAGGGGGTGAGCTGCTTCCAGACCCGGATGTTGTCCACACGCAGCCATTTCCCCATGATCATCTCCATGTACAAGAGGGGGATCCCGAACAAGAGGAGCATGAAGAAGTGCATCAGGATAAAGCTGCCTGAAGAAGGGAGCCAGGAGCTGTGCTTAGGCAGTCAGGAGTCCTGGCCCCCCTCCTCTCTATCCCCTAGGAGTCTGGCTGCCTCCCTTCCAGTTATCTCCTAGGAGATAGGAGTCTAGGCTCCCAGCCTTAAAACCCCTTCCTTAACCCTGGCCTTACCTCCTCCGTTCCGATGACATAGGTAAGGGAAACGCCATATGCTGCTTAGCCCAACAGAGAAGGCAACTTGGACCAAAATGTTCTCAGTTCTTTTGGTCTGAGTAAAGTAGTTGTGAGTCTTGGTGGCCCGAATCTCTTTGGTATTGAGCTTCCAGGGTAGGGTTGAGGAAACTTGGTGTTCTTTGGGGGCCTCGTCCTCTGATAATTCTTCAAGGGACTCCATGACTTTCTTCTTACAGCTCCACTAACTCCTGAGGGAATCTTGGGGTCACCAAGAAGAGCAGACCTTAAGGGACATGTCTCAGATGGCAGACTGTAAAACTCCACAACAACAAGGGTTTTAGAGCATTGAGGGCCAGAGTTTAAATCTTGGTCCTTCTCCTCACAAGTTATCGTCTTTGGGAAAATAATGTCCTCTCTCTGACATTCAGGTTCTTTTTTTTCTCATCTTACAAGAATAGATGAATTTCAAAATATTTAGTGACTGTTATAGCATGAGCACTGCCCAATCAGAATGGATGCCAGCCATAAGCACTGAAGTATCAGCTTAACATCATCCCTGCCCGAAAGAACTAAAAGCGACATAATGGATATTGAGTGCCAAGGACACAGAAAACACTTAAGGCACTCTGGTTTCTTTCTTTTCTCCCTCTGGTCTACCTGGCCCAACTGATGCAAACAGATTTCTAGGCCAGTGGTTCCCAATCCTGGCAGTCTATCACAATCACTTGAGGGACTCTCAAAACATAGAGATTGCTGCCTTTTATTCTCCTAAACTTTCTCTTCCATATTCTGATTCAGTAGATATAAGGTGGAATATAGAGATTGGTAGAATTAAAAAGCTTCCTTGGGGATCCACTTCTGGAAAGGCAGCATGAGGAGCTCTGTCGACCCATTCCCTAGTGAATCAAGCACAACTTGTGAAAGTTATAAACAAAAGAACATTTAAGGTCTCTGGAAATTGTCCTGATACAGCAGTGAAGAAACATTTATTCAAGAAAATCTGGTAAAACTCAGGATAGTGACAGTCTATGGCATGTGAACCACAGCCTGCTCCCTCCCTCCCTCCATCCAGCCCAGTGTTATGGAAAGTCCACTCTAGGTGGATGGAGCCAAGAACACAGGGTTCCCTTCCTCCCTGGATCTCACTCAAAGCCCACGGTGTCTTCCAAAGGGGCAAGCCACCAGCATTTCTCATTCCTCTCTAGCTATGTGTTGCAGAGACTAAATTCCAGGCAAGTGTGGTAAAAGGTGGGGAGCCCTCTTCTTCCACTCTGCCCTCACTTGCATGGCAGAGGCTCTACTTCAGGGATGACACAGTGAGAATACTGGGGCCCTGACCTACCCAACCCCATCTCATTGGTTAGGTAGAGGTTACATGCCAAGAGTGGCAAGTCAATAAGACCAAAGGCTAATGCCCCATCTAGTACCCTGTTCCTTAAGCACTCAGATAGAAGCAGGTCTCTGTCCCCATCCAGCCTTGGAGTTTTTGTCAAGGGAGAGAGGCAGGCCTTAAGAACAAATAGCTCAGAAGCTCTTCCCCCAAGAACTAATTTATCTGAAACAGACTGTGAGGACATTTAAGCCTAAGGGCATACTCAAAAACAGTAGAGGATTTGGTGGTAAACAATCAAGAGGAGGCTGGTGACATCATGAGAGATATAAGCAGAACTGTAAGCCAGTTAGTATGCCAGAGAGAACCAGGGAAAGAGATAGCTAAGAAGATCCAATGTTTGAGGTCAGAACAAACCTCAAACACTGACTTCAAGAACTACTCCTGTAAGGGAGGACAAATTAACTGAATCAGACTGGAACAATTTGTTTCAGAGCATTGTCAAAAACAATAGAGAAGTCAGCTGGAAATGAGTAGATCCTAAAATCTGGGTGTGGTCAGGGGAAGAGAAAATGGGATCCCTCCTAAACCCAGTGTCATACCAGGGTTATGCAGCATGCTTAAGGCTCTGGCCTTTGAGGATTATACACCTTGACCAAGTGGGATTTATCCCAGGAATGCAAGGTTGGTTTAACATCTGAAAATCAATTAATGTTATACATCATATATCTATTTAATAGAATAAAGGACAAAAGCCATGTGTTCATCTCCTTGAAGAAAATGACAAGCTGATGATAAAACTCATATGAAAATTCAAGGGGCCCAGAATAGCTAAAGAGAAAGAAGAACAATGTCAGAGGGCTCAGACTTCCCAATCTCAAAACTTACCATAGTGCTACTGTCATCAAAGCAGTGTGGTACTGGCATAAGGATACACAATAGACCAACAGGATAGAGTAGAACAGAGAGCCCAGAAGTAAACTTTCACATAAATAGTCGATTAATTTTCAACAAGAGTGTCAAGGACATTCAATAAATGGTGCTGGAAAAACTGGATATCCACATAAAATAATAAAGTTATTTATTTTATGACCCTTTTCTTATACCATATACAAAAACTAACTCAGAATGCATCAAAGACCTAAATTATAGAGTGGAAATGATAAACTCCTTAGAAGAAAACATAGGGGCAAATCTTTAAGACCTTAGACTTGCCAATGGTTTCTTAAATATAATACCAAGATATATCCTTTGTGAACCAAAAGATACTGTCAAGAGAGTGAAAAAATAACCACAGAATGGAAGAAACATATTTGCAAGTAATATATCTGATAAGACTCTAGTATCCAGGATATACAAAGAAATCCTACGACTAAACAAAAACAAAACCCATACAACTCAATTTAAAAATGTGCAAAGGACTTGATTAGGCATTTCTTCTAAGATGTACAAATAGCCAATAAAAACGTGAAAAGATGCTCAACATATTTAGTCATTAGGTA